ACTTATATATTATGAAATGGGATCGTGTGGCACGCCGTCCACTTATGAATTAAGAAATGGGATCGTGTGGCGCGCCGGCCACTTATATATGAGCTATGGTATTGAGATAGTTTCGTCGTTATATCCGTTGATCTGTATTCGCTGTATTTTTCCCCGAGCATGCCCCCTTCCCCTTTTTAGTTGATATTCTCTGTTGTTATTTCTGTTGCCTTTGTATATATATATCTGCACAGGTTATTTTTGGTAGGTCCTGTCTATCCTCGTCACTACTTCGCCGGGGTTAGGCCAGGCACTTACCAGCACATGGGGTCGGTTGTGCTGATGCTACACTTCTGTGCTTTTTGCACAGGTTGCGGTACCGGAGCAGCTTTTGGACCTCAGTAGTAGGAGTGTTGGGAGCTTACTTCAGTCCGGAGATTTCCGAGGTAGCCTTGCTGGCGTCCGCATGGCCCGGAGTCTCTCTTATCTCTGTCTTTCGTTTGATTTCCCTTGTATCGGATCAGACAATACTATATTCTTATTCAGACTTTGTATTTAGCATTCAGTAGAAGTTCGTGAGTTAGTGACACCAGATCTGGGCAGAGGTGTATTTGAATTTCCGCACTTGGTTTCAGTTATTTATGTTTCGAGACTTCCGCTTTTATATTAATTGCCTCGTTCTTCTTTATACTGTTAATGATGTTGAGAGAGGTGTTAAATTAATTGGCTTGCCTAGCTCCTATTAGTAGGCGCCATCACGACTCCTGAGGGTGGGAAATCCGGGTCGTGATAAATACCTAAATAATATGCGATACAATACTAATACAATTATAATATATATTATATCATCTTTTAAGTTTAGAGTTGTGATTGAAGCTTGAAGAGGATGAAGATCACAATTGTTATCATAATTTTTCCAGAAATGTGTCGCAGTTTGTATCACAAATGTATGGGAGTTGTGTTAGTACTATATCAGGTATTGTTTTAGATATCAATATATCAAATACAAATTAGATACAATTTGTAGGCATATGAAATTAAAATTAAATTCATAAAATAATTTGGATTATATTTCAAATTCAAGATATATTGGTCCAAATAAATATATGGGCTAATATAATTGAATTAATTATATAAATTCAATATATATGGATTAAATAAATAAGTCTTAATTCATTGGGCTAGTCCATTTAATTGGGCTAAAGTAATAAGCCCACTTCATTAAGCCCAAGATGACATCTTCCTAGAGGCCCAGTTTGGTGCCACGCGTGAAATGGCGTGGCATGCCAAGTCAAGCGGAAGAACCAATAGGATCATGCCACATGTCAAAATGACAAGGCATGCCAAGTCACACTAAAAGGCCAATGAAATCGCGCCACGTGTGCAAGTGACATGTTGTGGCCAATCAAATGCGGCCATGTCACCCTTCAATTTGATTGGTCGGAAAGAGTTTGTTCTTATCATGACTCTTCCCTTCCACAACTATAAATAGGGGTCTTCATAACTCAGAAAAGACACCAGAAATTATAACAAGAAGCAAGAAAGAGCTCGTGGATCAAACGCTGCAAATTCCTCTACAAGTTTCAAGCTTCAAGTTCAAGTTCAAGAAATCAAGTTCAAGCTCAAGAACGAAGAACAAATCAAGTTCAAGCTCAAGAACGAAGAACAAATCAAGGTTCAAGGAGTGCGAGTTCAAATCAAAGTTCGTGCTAGTTGAATTCAAGATCATCGTTCGTGGCAACAAACATAGATTCAAGATCAAGCTCAAAGGCCCTTGAATTTATTTACAATTGGAAAGAAGAATTAGAGGATCCATAGAGATTGTAACACTCAAATATTCGAAATAAAATACTACGATTGTTGCGATATTTTCGTTCTTGATTTTATTTTCTCGACGCAAATTTATTGTCTACAAATTCTGGCACGCCCAGTGGGAAAATCTCTACCTCTCATCTCAACTTTTCAATCACCAAAGTCCAAGAACATTGAAATGGCTTCAAAGAAAATCAACTCCGTTTCAACTTCCACCAAGGCTGCTAACTCTAGGTTCTATGCTGATGTGGAAAGCATCCTCGATGTTACCTTCGGAAGCTTCGGACCAGTTACGAGGAGCAAGGCAAGCTCTTTAGGACAACAAGCACCCCAAGTGTCGTCCGCGTCAACCCCTGTTTTCGAATTTTCATCCCCAAAAGGAGCAAGATCTTCCACAAACGCATCTGAAGGAGGAAGCGATGTTGCCGAAAAGATCAAGAAAACTCTTGCTCTGCTTGACCTCTTCGGATCCAAGCACTCTGCTATGAAGGAAGATGATGATGTTTCAAGTGATGGATCCTCCCCACTTACACCACATAGCGTGAGCCGATCAAGGATCAATCTGTGTGAAAATCTATGCTACTCTCCGTCGTCTACGACAATCATGCAAGCTATGGTGACAAATACTTCATCCGTGGAGGAACAGTTGGCAAACTTGACGGAAGCAATCGCTGGCTTGACCAAATGCATGCAAAATCAAGAGGCTAGAATCGATAAGCTAACAGACAGGGTGGGAATCTTGATGGAAGAAGAATCCACCCATGCACCCGGCAAGCTCCCAGAAGTTCTAGAGAGTGACTCTCCCCCAAGACAAGCAGCATCCACTAAGGCTATCCCTGTCTCATCTGAAGGGATGATTCCAATCGATCAACTGAAGGAGTTCA